GAGTTGCCGCCATGTGATTGGCTGATTAGAAATTAAGTGTTAACGAGCAGTTGGACAGGTGTACCTAATAAAGTGGCCGGTGAGTGTATATTCAGCTAAACTTACAGCTTAAATATCAAAACAGAGCCAATGCTAACATATTTAGCCTTGACTAAATGTGTATATTTAGGCTATACGTATATATAGCTAATAATATATTAAGCTATAGCTAAAAGGGAAGCTTTAAGCTAGTCCTATAAAACTGACTCACATGGTCCACACTTAGCATCAAGAGGTTTACTAAGCTGTACAAGCAGATTAAAGTTTTAGTTAAATATATTTTTATAGATAAACATACAGCTTAAAGCTACACATTTAGCTGTGACAAAATAAAGATCTTAAAGTGCCAACAGCATCTTTTTTGTAATAAATATGAATGCATTTTTGGAAAGCCAACATTAACATATTGGAAAAATAATTTTACGCCACTGAGATAAACAGTTGTTGAGATATTCACATGTGAAGTAACAGGAAGTGATGAATATGAACAGAGCATTGCTACAGTGGCTGTCGAGAAGAATCATGTTTCTTTAGATTATTTTGAGTCACTATCAGAGAGAGATGAAGAAAAGTCAGAGTTCAAATAATATTGTTTCAATAAGCAAAGACCAGGGAGTTCCCTTTCTTAAAGAGTTCCCCTTTGATGTCACTTCCTGTTTCACTTTGGCTGAGCCAAGTTCAAAAGAAAATATGTCAGTTATGTGACAAAATGGGTAAAATCGTGTGTATTATGCCAAGTTTCTTAAACATAAAGATGTTTTCTTTGACTTTTTGTATTTGAAGGATATGCATGTTACAAATACTTTAAAGTTACACGTTGTGAAGTACAGTTTTACATGATTTTGACATTATTGTAATTAAAATCTAGGGAGGAATACACATACAGCAGTAGCTAAATGCATATCCCAACAGTAAACTCACACACACACCTGTGTGTATACTGATTATGTATACTTACATAATCAGTATACATACTGATTATGTAAGTATACACTGTGTGTGACTGTAAAACAATTAACAATAACTCTGTAAAGAATCTTAAGTCAGATTATTTACAGAGCTAAGGTAGCTGAAAGCATCTCATTGACAGTTGGAACCTCAAATATTTATTGGCTGAAACATTTTATTTCAGTATACTGTATGGGGTTATAAACTGTATTAGGACACATATACACAACAGAGCCTGTTTATTTTAGTAATTATTTACCACTGATTTGATCAATGAAGTGATTTGCACATACCGATATAGGAGTCAGATCTAAATAAACCTCTGAGTTGAAAGTGTCAGATATTTTTTGGGGGGTCTAAATACAGCAGGTCATCAATTTTCCATAACATATGAGGAAGATTCCTCTCTTGTACAAAAAGTGGAAACCTTTTTACCTTGGAATCTTTATTTCTGCTTTACATCATTGAATAAAGACTTGGAAACTGCCATTTGTGACTACTCAGGACATTTTTTTATTATCAGCGTGCATTGCCAATGCACACTATTGTGATTCGTTTCCCATCCAAGTCATCTCAACTTTGCCATGCTTCTCCTCCTGCATACTTTGTCCTAGAGCTGCCATTTTAATTTATATCTGTAAAGCCCCTGTGCCAAATGATGGCTATGCCTTTTGGTGCCTGTAAAACTTATAGTTTTTGAAATATTAAATGTTTAATAAATTATAATGGTAGTCAATGGAGCCTTGTATTGGTCCAATACTGCCCCCTGCTGCATCTACACAATATGGTACTGCACCTTAGTTTTAGAATATTTAAACTCAGTAGTTCAGTGATTACAATATTAATATGATTGTATTTTGATGTTTTACTATAATATTGTCTTAATACTACTCTACTGTTGTAATATTATGCAGTTTAGTGTCAATAATTATATTGGCAATATGGCCTCTTTCTGCACACATACAAACCAACCCCTGCCACCACCTTCTGCCACAACTCCATTGGTCTAATGGTCTATGTCATGGACTTTCATGAGGGAGATCAGGGTTCAGGGTTCAAAACCTGGCTAATGCAACTTTAAGAAGAAATCTCTTCAAACTTCATATTGTCACACAATTACCTTAATTCTAAACACCTGATGACTTGACAGGCACAAGCTGGTATAGAAAACACATTTGAACTTGGTCAAAGTTCATTCTGCAAGTCCAATGCTGCAGGCAAAGCCATGCTGCAATGACATGCTACGTGGCAATGCACACTTGTTTTTACATCGTAAAAACCCATGTCTAGTTATTATTGTTTCAGTCACATGAGAAAGCAGTTTTAAAGGACTCAAAATGGTAGATTTAAAAAAAAACTGGGTTCCAGGAAAAATCTTGAGACACAAAGCGTGTGTTTTCATGTGGACAGCTAAAACACAACATTTTAAAAACAATGTTACATTGGTCCACCTCATGTGAAACCTACGACCCAAACGTAACAATGACAGATTAGCTACTGTTTGGGCTGCTGATGCCAGTTGATCAATTTCAGAAAAACCTTCATTTGCTGTATTAAGGCCTCTGTATATTCCCTCCGAATTGCCGAAATCATCTCTCATTGTCACAGTTGCATGTCGAAAAATGTGTCAATTGATTTTGAGAGCAAATAGGAGCTCCCGACCTTGCAGTGGCAGATCTAGGATTTTTCTGAGTAAGGGGCCATCAAGGAGCGACAATATTCAAAGAGGTGCCAAGACTTTGTTCAACATCCTTTCACACAAATTCCCAGTGTATACGTTTTACACTTCAAGCACTTGTAACGTAATTAAAAAAAAAAAGTACCACTTTACAGTAAGGCCCCCCTTATAGATGGCTTTTAAAGATTTTATAGATAGGTTATTAATCTGTTAACACTTTAAAAATTATTAATAAGTGTTTATTTTGCAATAATTACGAGAAAGAGACAAAATTGTCCAGTTTTATTTATTAATGATTTATGAAGTGTAAACTTTACAAATGAATTAATAACCTATCTATAAACTCTTTATAAGCCATCTATAAGGGGAGCCTTATTGTAAAGTGGTACCAAAAATCTGGCACAGTAAATTCTCCTCAACAGTTTTTCATACATTTTACTGAACATAGATAAAATATTTTCAAACATGTGAGAAAATCCAGCCATTTGTCAGCTGAAAGACTTTTTTGCAGGATTGTTCACATTTTAAGAAGAGAAGAATTCTGTCAGCTTGATTCATTCTGGACTTTACTATTTGACTCATGAGCGCCTCTAGTGTTTGAACATGGAACTGCATCCACCATCATCACCCCCAGGTAAAGGACAGATGAGTGACAGGACAGGAGCACTTAAGGGGGCCAATCAGATTTCAGCTGGGGCCAATGCCCCTGTGGCCCCGCCCCTAGAACCGCCCCTGTGTTATTGACACAAGGCCTTGGCCCAACTGTCTCTCACTGCGTTCTGTGCGAAGTTCGTGGGCGTGTTTGTTTGAAAGTGCTCAGATGCTGCATTTTGCTACAACTACTCACTTCCAGAATGCAACTGTTGTAACCAGAAGCTGACATTTATAAAGAAAGTCAAATAGACAAAAAAATCATGAATGGAGATTAAAAAAACATTTTGCACAAAGGAATTCATCTGCAGAAAAGTGTGAAGCTTTAACCGGGACAGATTTGTGGACAGATAACAGCGGATCAGAGATTTCCGGGGTGTAGACTCCAGTGGGAAGGAAGCCCATGCAGTGACGTATACTGCAGCTGGAGGGGTTTCCCAGGAGCTCAGCATGGTCTCTGTCTCTGGAGCAATGAAAGGTGTGTGTGTGTGAAACAAACGCTGAACARCCATGTGGCCGCATGTCGACTGTTCGGCTTCATATGTTTATATGCTTTTATTTTATTGAACATTACCTTAAATAGAGCAAAACCTCTTTTTGTTACACCAAATAATCCAAGGCCAAAAAAGATTTTCTTCACTTTATTGAACTGTCAAYAATACTAAACCCAACAATACATCAAGCAGTTTTACTCATTTAAAAATACACAAAAATATTTGTTCTGTGTATCTTTGTGTATCAAAATTAGCTGTGTTAAAGTTAAGTCAACACACGTGGTCTGCAGCAGAACTTCATGCAGTTACATGAGTAAAGAGCCAGTTCAGACTTGTCCTGAGCAGGTCTGTCCACCGTCACACAGTGTGTGTGTGTGTGGGTGTGTGTGTGTGTGTGTGTGTGCATGCGTGCGTGTGTGCGTACGTACATACAAACAATTTAAAACTATACTGAACAAGCTTTTAGGTCAAATTGTTTTATTCAGTACAAGAACAAAGCCTAGAAGTCCACATTGTTAGGTTCTGTCCTGCAGCCATGTTGGCTGGAATCATGGAAGAAGTGGAGACAGGATTCAGGAATGACCTGAACGAGGGATTCTGAGAGACTGAAGAAGATTGACCCTTCAGAAAACTAATGTTTCACTCAGCTTCCTCACAGGACAGAAGCAGGAGCTGAGGATGGAACCAAACAAGTGGTCCGTCTGTTAGAACCCTGCCTGAACTTTTTAACTGATTATGAATCTCAAACATACTGAAGTCATGTTGTGAGGCAGCAGTGACTGAACTTTACACACATCACTGGTTTTAAAAATGTCACTACAACACATCAGTTTGATACGAATCATTGATGATTATATTTCTACAACTTTACGTTAAAAAGAGCAGTTTATAGAGATTTTGACTTTCCTCACCTTGAATACTGAGCATCTGCCCGATCTTTAGAGCTGCCCCTCGAACTTTGCAAAGTGTTCGGACAATCCTCCCAGCGTTGGCCTCTGATAGGAATGGATTGGAATCCAACACCGCCTTTTTGTTCACTAAAAAAAAAACATTCATTACAGCTGCTTAACACTACAGGAGCTCAACACTTGGTAACAAGAGCAGGATTTTATTATTCCAACTTTGAGTCAGCACATTTCATGACAACCCCACAGCTAATCGACATGAACCAACACAAAAATGGCTCCAAGTTTGTCAAATCTACAGATTTAGAAGTAGAACATCAGAGTCACTATAAACAAATATTCCAGCTGCTGAGATTTTGAAACATCACACAAGCCTTTGCAGAAAAGCTCTTTATCAAAACAACTAGAACTTCATTCCTTCTCATCAGAAGATGATCAAAGTTTAAAATACTGGTATAAGAGGTGGCGGATGATATGCATTCTATCAAGGAACGCTAGTCCTTTCATTTTTACTGTCTGATAAGCAATACATGCAAAAAGGCATCTTAGGTTAGGGTTGGGCATAATCATATCGTGTGCAGTTAACTGTCAGAAAAACAATAATCGATTATTTTTTGCCATTTGACGATTAATATGATTAATGCCACCAGGCAGAGTCTGCTCCGTGCTCCTCTCTGCTTCAAATATGACGAACATTTTAAAAAAAGTGCTGTAATTTCTTTATCTATCATCACAATTTAAAATTTATGTATAGCCTGAAGACTGTAATTTTTATACAATTTGGAACAGATTTTTATGAAGAACAAATCTTTCCCACTAAATTGGTCATGTGACCAGGACATAAGGGTGTCCAGGGACTCCAGGGGATTAATTGTCAAATTAATCGTTATCGGCTAAATACCACAATTAATCGTGATTAATTTTTTTGCCAAAATTGCCCAACCCTAGCTTAGATATATACACCTGATTCTAACAATAAGCTGCTTCTTCTTACCTTCTTGTTTGGGTTTTAAACTCTTCTTGGCCACTTCTGCAAGTGCTCCAAAACCAAGGCTGACTGCCAGTCCTACAACAACAACAACAACAACAACAACAACAACAACAACAACAACAACAACAACAACCCATTAGAAATGAGAGCGGCAACACTCACTAACAGATATAACATCAATCATCAGCAAACAGAGATCATCCAGGTGATCTCAGGTCAGAGGAAAGTTAAACAAAGAACAGATCTAAACATTTAATCGTCCAATTAAATGAATTCAGATTGAAACTAAACAAACTCTTTCAGCTTTGTGATCAAAATAACACAAACTATGGTGAAATCCCACACACTGACTTGTTATTCTCCCAKGAGCCTTTGCTGCTCTGGAGGAAGTGCCCACGCTGCCAAACAAGTCTGCACAACTTCTCTTGCTCAACTTTTGTCACCAACCGTTATGAGTTACATAAAAAATATTAGAGTATGAAGGATTATTGCCATCATCTCAGCTTCAAAACTGATTTTTCTGAGTAAAACAACTACAAAAAGTGATGTCCTTTGTTATTTACATTTATTTTAGGTCTGAATCAAATCCTCAGAACATAGAAAAACTGAAATAATTCTAAAATCTAAAAATGTCAGAATAATTTTTGTAATGCAAACAAACTACAGAGATACAGTGTGAATGCTGAATGTCAGCTGAAGCAGCAAAAAAAGAAGTTAAAGTGAAAGCCAGCTGAACAGCAGCTAAAATAAGCAGATATATGTAGCAGACAGTAGCTAAAAGCTAAGCACAGAAGAATTGTAGCTAAAGGCTCAGAGCAGCAAAACAGTAGCTAAAATCTGCAGAACAGCATGTCCTGATGCAAAACAGTACTAAAAATTAGCTAAAAAGATAAATTAGAAAAACTGTAGCTCAAGTAAAACAGACACTAAAATTAGCAAAAGAGTAGCTAAAATTAGCAAACTTATTCTTAAGACACAATTAGCATCTGTTTTTCTAATTGTGTCTGCCTACTCAGGTGCAGAATGTCTCTTGTGAAACAAAGAGAAGTAGAAACAAAGTCAAATCTGGACCCCACCATGCCGGTACGCAGTGGTGGGCAGCGCTAATCCAAAAATTAGCTCCGCAATTTCTAAAGCGCTGATTTAAATATTTAGGTCCGCAACCTCAAAAGCACTTATGCCATTGAAAAACCAGGGGAATCAAATTTTAAAGTGCAAGTACAATTTGACACTATCTGGCAATAATTCATGTACAATATATGTACAACACTGCCAACTAGTGGTGTATGAACTCTTTTACAACTTAATCCTACAACCACCGATTGCTGAGGATGTGATTTCCTGAAACAGAACTTTAGCTCCTGGTGTAAAAATTAAAAAGTTGTTGAGGATTGCTAGTTCGGCTGATTCTTTGTCTTTTTCTTTTGTTTGTTGTAGATTTTTCATTAAAGAAGCATCAATAAAGTAATTTTAAAACTGTTTATTGGAAAACTAAAGCGATGCATTCTGGGTACATGATGGATTTGATTTGTGACGGGAAACGAAAGCACGGACTACAGGAAACTATGTTCCCTTCAAAATAAGAGCTTGGATTTTAAAGBTTYHCATGTAGTTGCTCCAGTTGACCACTAGATGTCAGTCTTCATCAGCATAACATCTTTAAATCATTTCTGAGTCTCTAACCACGTTGTTTCAATCAATTACGTCAAGTATTGAGCTCCAGTGTTTAAACTTTTTTTTTTTTTAAAAAGGAGCTCCGATTGTAAAGTAAAATAAATCAATACATACAAAATTTTAGTATGGATTACAAACGTTAACTGTTTTAGCTGGGACAGGGAGTACTAAACATTGCCTTCCTGCTACGTAAGCAGACACAAAGCATTGTGGGAAATCAGAACCGTGACCCAAAGCAACAGTCAGCAGGATGTATACCTTCACAATAAGTGTGTTTATCTGGGAGGGGTGCTGTTGGATAGATCACATGTGTTGTGATTCATTGACAGTCATACCTTCTGCTGTTCAACATAATGATGACTGGTAGATAATTAGTTATTAGTGGTACTGCATTTTAATTTTATAAAGCGCAAATCCACTTATGAGTTATAAAAAGTAGTAAGTCCGCTAAAGCGCAAACGAAATATTTAGGTCCGAAATTACCAGATCTGCGTTTTAGCGGGCTGGTGCCCACCACTGCTGGTATGGACCAGATCCAACATGCTGTCATATCACCATTAGCATATGTTGGTGTCAGTTCACAGTGGACATGACAAATCTAGAAAGTTTAAAACGGATGAAGCAGCTGAATGTTCTGTAGCTGAAGAAGAGCCATGTTCTGAGCTTTCAGCTACATGAAGATGGTACTGATAATATCAACATCTGGATGGATCTGCAGGTTCACRCAGACCGGCCTGTGAAACTGAAAAAGCTTAAAAAGAACCAGAAAGATTGCCAAGAAATAAAGTGACAAAATGGAAGCTACAAGTGGCAAAACGGTTACCAAGAGGAGCAACTACACTGAAGGACAAGCAGTAAATCCATGTCCCCCAAAGCTGAGGGGTTTAAATATTGAATGTTTTTAGTTTTTGAGGCGTTTTTTTCTGGAGTAGGAATGTAGGTAAACCTGAATCTTTTCCTGTGGGTAAGAGTTGAACTGTGCTTAAAAACAGAGGGAGTTTTTCTTTTTCTTGTCCAAAGCCGTGCAGAGCAATGGATCCTAGTGAGGGGGCCATTTTATCCACCATCAAGTGCAATGGTCAAGTCAGGGGGTGGCCAATGGTGGCCTTGACCATTAGGGTTGGGTGGTATTGACTATTTTCATACCATGGTATAACCTTTAAAAAATACTACGGTATACAAGACTTATCAGGGGGTGAGGGTCTGTGGTGTGTCGGCTGATTAACAATTAACAGAAAGGGCATGCACATGCATTTAGCTTTATATACTTGAGCCAGAAAAACTCAGCTGTTCTGACGTGCTATCACTACCTCACTCTGAATTGTTCTGACCTTGCTCAGAGGTTAAAACGTGTGACAGATGGGGGTGTCTCCCCCCACTCATCCGCCTCCTCCGTTTGTCTTCTGAATGGGTTGAGGTGGTCAGAACTTACATCAGTAGCATTATGGGGAATCTTCTGACAGAGCCTACAATGCTTCCTGCATGTCCCAGTTTTCATAGCAGCCTTGTGGAAATTTGGTGCATCACCTCATGTGACTAATATATAGACCAATATCATTATTACCACAATTTCAAAATATTTGGAAAATTTGTTTGTCACCAGATTAGATCAGTTTATTGATAAACAAAATATTTTAAGTAAAAATCAATATGGTTTTAGAGCTAATAACTCAACATCAATGGCTCTCATGGACTTAATTGAACACATAACAACAGGTTTTGATAAAAAAAAATACTGTGTCAGTGTTTTTGTTGATTTAAAAAAAACATTTGATACCATTGACCACAGTATCCTTCTGGATAAATTAAACAAATATGGTATAAGAGGTCCAAGCACTACAGTGGATATCAAGTTATTTAACTAATAGGAAACGGTTTGTAMAAATAAATGATGTAAATTAATAATTAACTTACTGTATGTGGGGTTCCACAGGGTTCTGTACTGGGACAAAATTTGTTTCTCCTATATATTAATGACTTGGTAAATGTGTCTGGGTTTTTTAAATGTGTTTTATTTGCAGACGACACTACATTTTTTTGTTTGGGTAGAAACGTAGAACAGATGTTGGAAATGATGGAAATATAATTTGTAAAAGTACAAAATTGGTTTAAACTTAATAAGTTATGATTAAATTTGGACAAAACAAATTACATTGTATTTGGTAATAGAAAGAAAACAACTGATGTTCCTATTAGAGTGGACGGTGTTGAAATTTGAAGAGTCAGTGAGGTGAAGTTTTTTGGGAGTCATCAATGGCAAAAAATTATCATGGAAACCTCATATAAATTACTTAAAAACAAAAATGACAAAATATGTTGCAGTTCTGTATAAAGTTAAGGAGTTATTTAATGATAAAGCACTATTTACATTATATAATGTAATAATTGTTCCACATATGATTTATTGAATAGAAGTCTGGGGAAATGCATGTAAAACCATTACTAATCCGATTATTATTTTACAAAAAAGAGCCATAAGAATTATCAAAAGAAAGCATTACTAACACCCATCTAATATATTGTTTCATAAATTTAAATTATTAAAATTTTATGAGTTGTTGAATATCATACTCTGCATGTATAAGGCTCATAAAAATGTGTTACCTTCAAACATCCAATCACATTTTGTTAAGAGGGAGAGCTGCTATAATTTGAAGGGATTACAAATGTTTGTTAAATCAAAAATCAGAACAAATTTGAAGGACAGATGCACTTCAGTAAAAGGTATAAGACTATGGAATAATCTGGAAAATGATTATAAAACCATGGGATCAATTAATTCCTTCAAAATATGATCAAAGTAAAATTGTTAAAAAAAATATGAAATTGTTTAATTTGTATTTGTATGAGTTACTGTTTGAGGAGTTGAATTATTGTTTTTGTTTTACTTGGTTTATTAT